CATGAAAAATTTTGAAAATATTAAAATCTAAAATACTTCTTTAGTAGGAGCTAATTTTGTAAGGTGTAATTTAAGTGGATCTTAATTTAATAATGTCAACATCAGTGGAATTAATCTGAATGGAGCATAATTATTTAATTGTAAATGGAAAGGCTTAAAAATCAATGAATTGTAGAAATTAAATGGTCATACTAAATCTGTGTAATCAGTTTGTTTCTCTCCAGATGGAAATACTTTAGCTTCTAGTGGTAAAGATAGGTCCATCCGTCTTTGGGATGTCAAAATAGGATAATAAAAAGCAAAATTAAATGGTCATACTAAAGAAATTATGTCAGTCTGTTACTCTCCTGATGGAAATACTTTAGCTTCTGGTAGTAATGATAAATTTATCCGTCTATGGGATGTGAAAACAGGATAATAAAAAGCCAAATTAGATTGTCATTCATATGCTGTCTACTCAGTCTGTTTTTCTCCTGATGGAAATACATTAGCTTCTGGTATTGGTGATAAGTCTATCCGGTTATGGGATGTCAAAACAAGCAAATAAAAAGCCAAATTAGATGGTCATAGTAATCGTGTTAACTCAGTCTGTTTCGCTCCTAATGGAAATATATTAGCTTCTAGTAGTAGTGATGAATCTATCCGTCTATGGGATGTCGAAACAGGATAATAAATAGCCTAATTAGATGGTCATAGTCGAACTGTCTAGTCAGTCTGTTTCTCTCCTGATGGAAATACATTAGCTTCAGGAAGTTATGATAACTCTATCTATTTATGGGATGTCAACACAGGAATATAAAAAGCCTAATTAGATGGTCATAGTGGTACTGTCTAATCAGTCTGTTTTTCTCCTGATGGAAATACATTAGCTTCTGGTAGTGCTGATGAGTCTATCCTTATATGGGATGTCAAAACAGGATAATAAAAAGCCAAATTAGATGGTCATAGTGGTACTGTCTACTCAGTCTGTTTCTGTCCTGATGGAAATACATTAGCTTCCGGTAGTTATGATAAGACTATTCGTCTATGGGTTGTCAAAACAGGTTAATAAAAAGCCAAATTAGAAGGTCCTAGTGGAACTGTTTACTCAGTCTGTTTTTCTCCTGATAGAAATACATTAGCTTCTGGTAGTTATGATAACTCTATATGTCTTTGGAATGTCAAAAGAGGATAATAAAAAGCCAAATTAGATGGTCATAGTGGTTGTATTTACTCAGTCTGTTTCTCTCCTGATGGAAATACATTAGCTTCTGGTAGTGGTGATTAGTCTATCCGTCTATGGGATTTCAAAACAGGATAATAAAAAGCCAAATTACATGGTCATAGTAACTATGTTATGTCAGTCTGTTTCTCTCCTGATGGAAATACATTAGCTTCTGGTAGTGGTGATTAGTCTATCCGTCTATGGGATTTCAAAACAGGATAATAAAAAGCCAAATTAGATGGTCATACTAGTNAGCTATTCTTTGTTGTGAAGGAATTTTTACAGTTTTACCTATCAGAGATAGCATGAAGAATAAATTTTAATTTAAATCAGTTGCTACCTCAAGTTTAATGACTGCATTTGGAATTTCAATATTTTTATCATTAATTAGTTCCTCTACCTATTAATCTGAAACGCGATCAATTTTGTTATTTAGTATTCAAGTATTTTTTCAAATTAAAAAAAGAACCCTATCTTAGAAGTCATTTCGTTGCTTTTATACTCAATTAGTTTGCTTTTAACTTTTCCACTTCAGCTGTTTCCAGCTGTTCAAATTGTGGAATAAATGTTTTTAAAGGATATGGTAGAATTTATCAGTTTCAATGATATTTAAGAAAATTCTTTTGAAGAATCTCCAATATCAAAGAATATTGCCTCTACTAGAGATAAAATTGATGACATTGCAGTTGAAAAAGATGATAAAGTTTTTGAAGATAGATTCTTATAAATGATTATAAGAAGTATGCTGGTAATCACTATTTATTTTATTGCCTATTATGTACCTCATCTATCACACTTTCTAAATTTTATTGGAAGCATCTTTGGATCTTTATTACAAGTACTATATAATTTATGATTTAGTTCTGTTTTCCTGTAATCGTTCATATTATCTATTTTAAAAATTCCAAAGCAACTAAACCTATTATTCATTATTTAATTATAATGATTGTTTCACTACTAGCAATTATCTTAGGAACAGCAGAATCCTTAAAGCATTTACTATGAACAAAAATTATCATAATAATTCTTATTATTTTTTGTAATTTATCTTAATGAGTTTTGGTTTAAATGCAAAGTTACATCCTCAAGGGATTCTGTCAAGTAATGTGAATATATAAATTTTTTTTTTCAATAATTTATAATACTCCAAAACAAAAAGAGTTACACCAATGTCAAGCAGATAAAACTAATTTTATGTAATTAGGGCAAAAAAAAACTTGTTTTTTTTTTTAATTTTGTTGGCTATTGTAGTTATAAATTATCAAAGCTATATATACAAACTGTTTAAAAAGAAATGCTGAGAAAAATTATTATGGATTATCGTCATAAGCATTTATTTATTAGACTCCTCAACACCTTTATTTTAACATATGGATTGGAAATAGGTTGTTAATATGTATAAAATATATCAAATCAAACTTCAAAAATGTTATTAAAGATATTCTTTAGAAAGATCTTTTATTCTTATGTGCTGAAAGAATCATTCTCTATTCCTAATCTTGAACAAATCCCTTATTCTAAGAATTCAATTTCTTTTTCATCAAATAACAAATTAAAAAGAGAATCTATCTTATTTTGCGCTAAGGTAACTTTTCTTTATGAGAAAAGAAGCCTCAACTAAGACAAAAGCCATTTCAAGAATTCTTCGTTTTAAACACTCGAAAAATCAGAAAGTTATTCAAAATCAACTTTTATTATAGATTACTGTTTCTACTTTTTATCAGATAGAGTCATTTGACTAAATAATACTTCTAATTCAGTCATTTCTTTTATATTTTATTAATATTCTTTTGATTTAGGTTTCTTCTTTTCTCTTTTGACCTTAGTCTTTTGTGTATCCTCATTTTGATTCAGTTGATCCATGACCCACCTTTCAAATAATGTTTAGTTCATAATAAAATTGAAATTAATAAAATACTTAAAAATAGTAAATAATTTATTAAATAAGGAAATTGAATTATACTTATTTGTTATGCATATTTTGCTGGAAAATGTTATTTATAATGAATCTCATATTTTACATTGCAAAATACTTTATTATTTTCTCCATAAATGAAAAGGAGAGGTAAAGAATTATATGTAATGATTAGATAAAACTTTAGAAAAATAATTTTAAAATTGTTATTGTTATAAATATGGTCAATTTATAAATATTGAATTTGTCTCGCCTTAAATGTTAATTGATAAATTAAAAAAGACAATAATTGATAATAATATTAAGTAATTTATATGTAGAGGCATAATTAAAGAGAAGTAGATAAATAAATTATTAACAATATATTGAATTTGTATTCATTTATTTATAATATATAATTCTAGTGGCAAATAAAAGAGACTTCTAAATTTTTTATTATTAAATTGTATTTTAAGGAAAATAAGCATAAAGTGAAATTGACTTAGTTAGAGTGTTAAAGTGCTTTATTTTCATTTAAGAGAAGGAGAGAGTTGATGTGTTAAAAGAAGTCTTAAGGTAGAAGAAAAAAGTGAAATACCATTATTTTGAATGGAAATTAAAATGATAATCCAAATAATCGAAGTAATTCTGGAAATTATGTTTTTATTAGATTTTTTGACAATTAGATTATTAACAACATTAAATTTTTCTTAAAGTTGAAAATAATATTCGGATAAAATTTTGCGAATATACAGAAAATAATGATCAATTTAGTGTGATAATTTAAAAAGAAATTTGCATTAAAAAATGTTCAAAAAAATAAAATAGTACCTCAATTTTCAGAAGGACAATCAGAACACCTAGCAAAATTGCTTTTCTCTCTCTATCAATTATCCTTTCAATGTAGCCAAACATACTAAATTAACTCTATTATCTTCATTATTATAGGTTTGGATGAATTTTTAAGAATTTTATGTAAGTCTTTTCAAGAACTAAAATAAAAGTTAAGTAAAACATACACATTCAAAAGTAGTAAGAATTTTGTTATTTATTTAATTTATATTTCTTGTTTACTGAATATATCAAAGTCTGGCCACTTTAGAAGATATCCCTAATCTTATTAAGGATTGATGCACCCCTGACCCAATTACTATATTCCTCCCATTGCTCAAACTCTGATTTAGTAGGCTCAAATTTTTAATCTCAATTGGAAGAGAAATATTTTTTATGAGAAGTAGTAATATAATGTTTGTTTAATTATTACTATAAGATTGTAATTTATAGAGTGAAGTAAAAATCTATTTTAGAAAATACATTATTTTTTTTTGCTCCTACCAACTCATTAATAATATTCAATATTTTTTTTATTTTACTTTCAAATTGCTCTAAAAATTTACTATTTCTTAAAAAATTTTGAATTTTTTTTCAATATGGCTTAAATACACAATTTAATACTTGAAGGTTGAGAAATTGTAAATGGGTCAAGATTTTTCTTCACTACAAAAGCCTTATTGATGGAGAGGTGCTCTCAAGACATAATATATATAACAAATATTGCTTCGAGTTGTTTGAGAATAAGCTCCAGAAATTTTCATCTCAGAAATACTAAAAAAATGGATCTTAGGAGTAATAAGTTTTATCGGCTCTTTAATCACCTAATAAATAAGAGATGCAAACCTAGAGTAACAAAAATAGAAGGGAAATTTAATAGAGCTCCAAATATTAACAAGTTTTAGTTAGGAAAGCGCCTCCTAAATATAAATTAGGGGATAAAAACAGTGATAAAAGCAATTATACAATTTTAAGAGCATGAAAAGGGCCAAACATATCCCCCCGCTCTTAATATGAACTGAACTGCCCTCATTTTATAAAAATTAATAAATTCAGTCTGTTTCTCTCCTGATGGAAATACATTAGCTTCTGGTAGTAGTGATTGTTCTATCCGTCTATGGAATGTCAAAACAGGGTAATAAAAAGCCAAATTAGATGGTCATACTCATTGTGTCTGGTCAGTCTGTTTCTCTCCTGATGGAAATACATTAGCTTCTAGTAGTAGAGATAACTCTATCCGTCTCTGGGATGTCAAAACAGGATAACAATAAGCCATAATAGAAAGTCATAGTAACTAAGTTTGGTCAGTTTGTTTCTCTCCAGATGGAAATATATTAGCTTTTGGTAGTGGTGATAAGTCAATTCGTCTATGGGATGTAAAGAATGAATAAGAAATTTAATCTGATTACAATAAATATAAAGATATTCTAGCTTAATTTAAGATTCCATTCTAATAAAATACACCTATATCAGAAGGTTATATTTATAATTTTTATATTTTAGTTTCTAATTTTATTACAACTCTTGTGATATCCCAAAAGGCAATATTTCAAGCTAAAGGAGCTTTAATTCTGAAAGGAGAATTTATAACTAAATCCGGTATAGATTTAAAGACATTGTTCAAATAAAAAGGAAGTTACTATTTAGAAGACTAATCGAAAAAATGATTATAATCATAATCAAACAACAATTATAATCACAATCAATATCTAAAATTTAAATTAATTATTTCTTTATTATATTCTACTCTTCAACTCACTTCTAAGTTCTTATTTATCAAAGTTTTATTTCATTTCAATCAGATATATACCACATTTATTTTAATATCATTATTACATATGTTCAGTCTAATGTAGCGAATAAATATCGAGATGTCATAAGACTTTCATTCTTTTATCATAAGATCTAGGATATTATATATTATTAATAACAAACTGGATTAGTTCTAACAAAATATATAATAATTTTGTAATATTAGTTTAGAAATAGCAAAATATATTTTTTATAACAAAGATAAGAATAAAGATACATTAAGAATATATTGAAAAAATAAACTTAGTATT